GGAAGATGAGCAGATGTGAGAGAAGATGTGAGAGAAGATGTGAAGATGAGCAGATGTGAGAGAAGATGTGAAGATGAGAAGATGTTTTACAGAACCCCACTATTGGAAGAACCCTGCGCTCAGACGCTCTCGGGAAAAAAAACATCACCCATCGCTGTATGCTTTCCATGTTTGCATTCTGCTACTTCAGAAGTCTGGAATGAACGGGGTGGCAACAGTTCACCTAGATTCCTTCCTATTCTTCATCATTAAGTTTTGAAGATGCAGAAGGGAAAGGCCAGGACTCACTCGCTCACAGTGGGCACCAGCACTGTGACATTCAGAAATGGACCAACACAGCGTGCGGAGACAGTTTGAACGAGAACGCTAACAGAAAAACCAGCTGTTCAAACTGCCTCACCGTCTGAGACAATAGCCCGCAGATTCTGGAGATCAACCAACATTCAAAGGATGGAAGGAACATTGCATTCACAGTCTTTGCACATTCTGAAACAATAAACGGATGAAAGCTTCTGATGCTTTCCACCCACCACAACAATTTTGAGTACTGAACCTTGTTACTGCAATGTTACTGCTATAGGCAACAGCGCACTACAGTTTGAAATCCGTCCGTTTATAGTATATAGCAGGCGCTTCTAAAGTTTCTATTCGAGCTAAGGGAAATCTGAAAGCTAAGAAAATCTGAGATGGCCAAGGCTGCTTCCGTCACCGTCACTTCATCGTTGTGTATGGGTACAGTCCAAACGGTTGGAAAAGGCAAGTCATGTGGCCACTTTCTGCGTCTGGCAACACTGTTGAAGGCACCAGGTGTGTTGTTTGGCAAGAAAATATGTTCTTTTTTAGACATCTTTGCTTTTGGAAAGCGCTGCCCCAGTTCGTCCAAACTGTCTTAATTTAGATGAAAGTTCAGCTTCATTCAGGCCTTGCCGAAGCGTCGATGGTGCCCAGAATTTGCAATGCTAAAGAAATCTGCTACAGTGAGCGTGCCATGTCGAGACACAGTCCACAAGTGTTAACGGTTTTCCATGAAGTGACTGAGCATGGAAAAAACATATCATTTTCTTCTGCTGTTTTGCGATCGCGGCAAAGAAAAAACACATTGAACAGTAGTCAGATCTTCGTTTTTTGGTGTGCAAGGCGGTGGCAACTGGTTTGCGCACCTAAACCGACAAAGAGAGTTTGGCGAAAGGTTTCCATATGGCTTTAGGGGGAAAGGTTATCACCGCCCCCCCTGAGCACGAGAGCCTGCCAGCTGGACAGAAATGGATGAACTACCCAATCCTTTGTGTTCAAAAAAGCGAAACCCGACCTTCTCCTTACTCCATTTGCTTTGAAACTCCGATGCTTGTGGCAAGTGTACAGCGTCCCTGGAGAAAACAGTTTTGCCCAGCCGAGCGCCTCTGTCTCCGCAGGCCATCTGTATTTCCGCTCAATGCCTCGAGAAGTGGAAATCAAATCAAAACTGAGCGGCGTTTCAAACTTTCCAAATTGGCGGCCTTGGCAGACTTGAGAGGGAAGGTTGAAGGATCGAAAGGTAGGTGTGGGTTGGAGCAGGAGTTGGTAGGGGAGGAGAGAAGGGCGAAGGATAGGAGGCACATGGGTGGGAACGCACGAACTTGGGTTTTTCCCGAGAGCGTCTGAGCGAAGGGTTCTTCTAATAGTGGGGGTCTGTTATACATATTCACATCTTCACATTGGGGGTGGCTTGTAAAGGCGAAGCAATACATAACGCGGGCCCAAACTCATCCAGCTGCACCGCTCCCACTCCAATACTTGCTATGCAAGGGGGAACTCAGGTAGGTTACCGCTACCTTTCGAGAACTACACATCTATATCATTCTATGTCACACAATGGCTGGCCTGTGTGTGGCCCTAGTCGTGGAATTTAAAAACTGGCCCGTGGACTAGCAGCTCGGAGAAAACATGTGAATGCTTGCTTTTGCAATTTAAAGATGCAGCAAGAGGGACACATGATGGAAACCAAGAGCGGCCTTTTTGGGGCGAGGACGCCGCTGTCTTATCCCGCTACTTCTTCGCAACCCGCCAGCCCGTAAAACGTCTGTTTCCATGTGCAGCATAGATACGCTCGCCAGGGTTGAAGTTGTTGTGCCTGTGTCGCAAACATAGGATATAGGCTTGCAATCACATTTGTCGCAAACATAGCATAGACTCGCAAATATACACATTTGTTGCAATCACGCGTGAATATTTTAATGGTACGAACCAAATGAGCAAGCACTTGGTTCGTGCCTCAATGTTCTGTCTTACTAAGATCCCGGCGTGTATTTGTAAAGCAGCCTGTTGTCCTGGCAAAGCATTGTGTGCTCATCGGCAACCTGCAAATGCATCACGCTGTCTCAACAACGCCATGACCTGCCTCCGTGTCCGGCTTTTGGTGGATCTGAGCGGAAACAAATTTGATGACAGGCAATGCTCCGCGCGCTTGCCAGGAGATCCACCCTTCAGCAATGGCTGCCTGCTACGCTTCTTTTCCCCCGCAGGATTTTCATTTTTTTCCCCTTGTTTTGGGCCCTATTTCTTGCTTCGCAGGATTCAGTGGCAACTTGCTGCAACCAGCCTGAATATCTATTGGATGATCCGGAAGGGTTCAAAAAACCAGTTTCCACATGTGTACTGGCTTGTGCTCGATGAAAAACACAAACACTCACACACATGCTCAGCATTGTTTTACCGAATTGTGAAGTGGATTATATTATACCTGACCGGAAGGAGAAAGGTGGAAAGGATTTTAAGGTCGAGCGTTGTAAAAATCAAACTGAATCATTGCCACGACTTCATTGCAATAAATTGAAGAAAACCTTCCCCTGGTTGCCCCGTGCGACAATTCCATCAAAATCAGATTGCGACAACTGTGCAAAAACGAAAATCACATCGACTTGCCGGTTCCAAGCTTGGCCGGTTGCTATCATAGTAAAAGTCAGAAATTGCAGGTGCGTGGAATTGATCAGACTCCATATCAGCCGTGGCATAGTCTTCTCTTCGTTGGGCAGCCGGCTGTGCTCACAGCTTTGCCCCCCCAGCTGAGTCTGCAGAAAAAAACAAACCAAATAGAAGTTTTACATCTGTTCAGATGTTCCACACACACAGACACACACACACACAGACACACACACACAAACACACACACACACACCTGCCGCGAGGCTTGTTTGGGAATCGTATTGCCGACACCAGGATCGATTTAAATGGGAGAACGAAGAATAGGTATCGAAAAAGTGACGGACAATGTGAAACCACAGGTCAGAGGTTGTTTTTTCTTCATGCGAAAGAGGTCGAATTTAGATTTTCGATGTCCAAGCCGAGCCGATTTGTTTCACGGCAAAAATATATGAGGGTCCTTCTTGTGGCATGTGAAGCGCATGATGAAAGGTGTTGTAAAACCCGAGAAATTCATGGAAACCGATCCATTGTAATTATTGAGGAGTAAACCAGTCAGGACGATATGTCTGAAGAGCTCCACGAGTCGAAAATGAGAGGATTGGTATCAAAGGCATCACCCGAGAGATTTGAGTAACGAAGCTGTATTTGTTCAGAATCAATTTGTACATTCCACGTGACAGAGACTGGTCAGACACCTCTTCAACGATAGTGCTCAGCAATGCAGAGCCCGAAACTCCAGGAAAGAGGTATTTGGCATACATATAGATTCCTTTTTTTGAGTGGCCGAAAGGGATGGACGTGTTGTGTACCTGGTCGCATTCAAGCTGTCGCAGGACGGGTCATCCTGGGAAAAGCGCCGGAGCTAGTGGACCAAAACAAGTACTGGCCGCACACGACTGGTGGAGTATGTAGACTGCCAAGTCAAGTCCAGCCATCGCGTGACCATGAAGACGAGCCATTGCACGATCGAGATCGATGCATGATGGGCAAATTGAGACAATGAGTGGGGATGCTCTGCAGCCATGCCAAGAAGGATGGGCATGCAAAGCAATGGCAAGAAAGAAAAACTCAACCTTGCAAAGTGAAAGAAACAGACCAAAAAAGTTCTGAAGAGAGACAAGAAGAAGCGCACAAGCGAAGGTCACAGCGAGTGGAACACAATGTGCTGGGCATGCGTGAGATGAAAAGCCAATCAAGAGTTTTTAGGGAAACCGGAGGCCAAATTTATTTTTACCCTCATGTTTCTTGCCTAGATCGTTCAGTCATCAGCTGGGCGATCTTCGTCGGCAAAGATCCGATCAGGTGTTCCGAAGAGGTACCAGCGAGCACGGCGAGCAACTCCCAGGCGTGCGTCGAAGACGCCGGCCGATCGATTTCCAGGATGGTCGATCGATTTCCAGGATGGTCGAGACCTAGCATCTTGCTTGTGCTTGGTCAATGCGCCGTCATCGAAGTCATTCCAAGCCCGGTCTGAGCCAATGGAGCTGGATGCTGGAGCTCCTGACCCTGCAGTGGGAGGGTTGCAACCATGGGTTCAGGCGCTGCACTGCGGACTCGTTGATGGGACTCCAAAGCCATGGCCAGCGGCGCGGGATCTGGTTGTCAACGAAGATGTATGTTCGCGAATGACTGTGGGATGAGATCGAAATCCCCATGGTAGTGACGTGCGTCGGTAGCTATAGGGCGGGCCCAAAAACGGCGCCAGGAGGCAACTTACCCCCCTCCTGGCGGTCATTTTGCGGTTGCGGGAAACTCATTTTCTCCTATTCAGGGGTCTTTTTGGGGCTGCGGGAAACTTATTTTTTCGTATTCAGGGGTCTTTTTTGGGTTTTGGCCAGGTGTGATTGTCAGCCAGGAAGTGGCACAAAGGATGGGCGTTGAGGCTATCCATGAGTTGGGAATGCATTTGGGCCAGATGTTTTTAAGACTTGAAACCTTGTTTTTGCTTTAAAAATGTTCAAAATAATATATAAATGAAACCGACTGACATGGAAGAAATTTCCGAAAAAAATCAATGAATTATTGATTTTTTTTTCGCGCCGTGTCAATGATATCAAATTTCCACACGCTGCGGGGCTGATTTTTTCAAGAATAGAAAGCACCTCTTGACGTTAAATTAAGATATTTGGAAATTTATTTACGGAAGAATTTACGAAATCGTCAGTGGATTATTGATGCTTTTTTCATGCCGTGCCAATGATATGTAATTTCCACACGTTCCTGGGCTGATTTTTTTCAAGATTAGAAAGCATCTCTTGACGTTAAATTATAAGATATTTGGAAAATTATGTTCGTGTCCCACCGATTTTTTACCCAGGTCAATGTGGGGACGGGTTTTTGGCACCATGCCCTCTGGAAGCACTGTCGCTGACCAGCTTGCGCGTTCTGCAGCTGCGCATGGGGCACTCCACAATTTGGCCCGTGGCGGCCCACTCACAAAAGAATCTAGGCCGGGCGTGAAAGTTGATATCATTATAGCCGATCCGGCGCTGTAGTCTGGCTGCTGAGACTCGCCAAGCAAGCTGGTCAGCGACAGTGCTTCCCGAGGGCATGGTGCCAAAAAGCCGTCCCCACATTGACCTGGCTAAAATATCGGTGGGGGAAGAACATAATTTTCCGAATATCTTATAATTTAACGTCAAGAGATGCTTTCTAATCTTGAAAAAATCAGCCCAGGAACGTGTGGAAATTACATATCATTGGCACGGCATGGAAAAAGCATCAATAATTCACTGACGATTTCGAAAATTCTTCCGTAAATAAATTTCCAAATATCTTAATTTAATGTCAAGAGGTGCTTTCTATTCTTGAAAAAAATCAGCCCCGCAGCGTGTGGAAATTTGATATCATTGACACGGCGCGAAAAAATCTCAATAATTCATTGATTTTTTTGGAAATTTCTTCCATGTCAGTCGGTTTCATTTATATATTATTTTGAACATTTTTAAAGCAAGAACAAGGTTTCAAGTCTTAAAAACATCTGGCCCAAATGCATTCCCAACTCATGGATAGCCTCACCGCCCATCCTTTGTGCCACTTCCTGGCTGACAATCACACCTGGCCAAAACCCAAAAAAGACCCCTGAATACGAAAAAATAAGTTTCCCGCAACCCCCAAAAAGACCCCTGAATAGGAGAAAATGAATTTTCCGCAACCACAAAATGACCGCCGGGAGGCAAGAGGTAAGTTGCCTCCTGGCGCCGCTTTTGGGCCCATCATATAGCCCTAAACGCACATCACTATCTCCATGGGTAGATGATGTTCAGGATTGACCACCATATGGGGAGGGAGACCACCATGTGATACCATAGTGGGCTGCAGTCGAGGCATTGGAACAAAGGCATGAAGGTCTCGACCACCAACAAGCATCCCGGAGTAATCGACGGGATAGCCGGGGTCTGCCGTTCAGTTTCAGGCTCAAAGCAAGGCAAGAAGCTTGCCATGAAATTCAAATGCATGATTGCCCGGGCCAAGTGATAAGGGCGTTGCTGCTGACGATTGGATGAAGAGGGCAGGCACCTTTTACCACAATGTGACATCGAGATCGAAAGCCACTCAGGAGAACGGCTGGAGGAAACGCGGAGAATGACGACGGGATCTGGGACTTTTTTGTTGGACCACAGTAGATCAGTTCGAAGGTTGTGTTTCTAGCATAAACCCCAAAAACTCCTGATCGGGTTCGTTTCGGTTTCCAACAAAATAGGCTTGCCATACAAAGCCTCACCAAGCAGGGTTTCATACGGAGCCAAGTCTCGAAGTCAAGCATCACCAATAACCAGTCGGTTATCCACATAGCAATGTGGCGGATGAACAAGTTATGGTTTGCCGCAGTCTCCTTGTAGGTGATCTATGAATGACGAGGAAGACTGCGTCTGCGCGGCAAGGACCTTTTGTCAACAATCACTTCGCTGATTAAGGGATGAAGTAGATATTGGAGGCGATGGACGTCCTGAAGTTGGCAAGGTTGAATGTCGACGAGGCAAAGGTTCTGTCCATAGATCCCAAAGATTGCCCGCCCTTAGATGATGCTGTTGTACTTGTTGAACCTGTTGTTGAACCTCTGGATCACATCCTCCAAAAGGAACTCCCATGCCAGGTGCTGGTGGAAAACCACGCTGCATCCAGCTTCAGATGCAGAATGCGTAAAAGGCTTAAGGCCCTCGGTATTGCGGCATAAGGATTTACTCTGAAGAAACAAACGCACAACTGGACCTCACCAACGACCAAGAAAGAAAGAATCGCCACTCACCACACGTAAAGTCATGTACCTGCCTGGAAAACATTCATGTTGTACTGCAGTCGGTGACAGACGCTGATCAGTCTCTCGGGTAGAAGTGAAAAAGAAGATTCGACTGTCGCGAATGATTCGACTCGAAATTGGTGAGTGCCAGGCACGTCGGCCCTCTGCTCAACGATTCAATCAGAAAGAGACCTGGAAAAAGGCCAGCAGTTTCACTTTACCTCGATGAATTACCATAGAAAAGTACGTCGCTTCAGGTCTCGATTCACGGATCCGACGTACTACCTTAAGGTACTCCCCGAAAAATCTCATGTCATCTTGTCGAAGCCTACATGAATCACACGCCTGCTCAGAATTCTCTTATCGAATTGTGCGTCAGCCGTGCAAAACACACTTATATTATACCTGACAAGAAGGAAAAAAGCGGAAAGGAGTTGAAGGTCAAGCGTTGCAAAAACCAAATTGAAACACCAGCGCCACGACTTGCAATAAATTGAAGAAAACCTTCCCCTTGTAGTGCCCCATGCGACAAAAACCCATCAAAACCAGATAGCGACAACTGTGCAAAAGCGACAATGGAACACATCGACTTGCCGGTTCCAAGATTGGCGGGCTGCTATCAATAAAAGTTAGAAATTGCAGGTACGACTCCATATCAGCCATGGTGTAGCCCTCTTCGTTGGGCACCAGCTGTGATCAGAGGGTTGCCTCCCTGCTGAGTTTGCAAAAAAAGAACAAACCAAATAGAAGTTTTACATCTGTGCAGATGTTCCACACACACAAACACACCAGGGGGCTAACCCTTATCTTATGTGTACAAGTACTCTAAGCAGCTCTAGCTGGAGAACAGGGAAAAACTGAAGGCGGCTTTCTGCAATAATACTTGGAGTTTGCTCAAGGAACTTTTTGGGCGAAAATTTTAAAACTTCAGGCTGTCCCTCTTTACTTGATTGGACAAATCCGCTTGTTTTGCGAGAAGAGCTTTGGCTTTTCAATGTGGTTTGGCTTTGATTGAGAAATGAGGTTGCCCGGCAAATACTTGTAGCGCATGTGCCAATGCGACAGGATCACTTACACCCAAGATGCCTGCGGTAAAGAGCCACAAAAAAAAACCGTTTTTTTTCTGTGGCAGCTCCTCTGCAATTCAGTAGGGGCAATTTTGGACAAAGCTGAGCTGCTGGCCGCATAGATCACCTCCTTTCCGTCCTGCGGGGTTCCACCTCAGACCCCCTACCCCAGTGACTCCAATTCACCAAACCAAGATAAGACAAGCACATCCCCACAAACGGACAAGAGGAGGGAATGAGTATATATAAATATATATATATGCATATGTTTGTATACATATGTATATATACATATGTATGTATGTATGTAATGTAATGTAATGTAATGTAATGTAATGTAAGTATGTATGTATGTATGTGCCTATGTGCGTATGTGCGTGTGTGCGTTAAGTATGTAATGTATGTAATGTGTGTAATGTGTGTAATGTGTGTAATGTGTGTAATGCGTGTAATGTGTGTAATGTGTGTAATGTGTGTAATGTGTGTAATGGGTGTATTGTATGTAATGTATGTATGTATGTATGTACTGTATGTAATGTATGTAATGTATGTAATGTATGTAAAGTATGTAATGTATGTAAGGTATGTAATGTAATGTAATGTATGTATGTATGTATGTAATGTAATGTATGTAAAGTATGTAAAGTATGTAAAGTATGTAAAGTATGTAATGTATGTAATGTAAGTAATGTATGTAATGTAATGTATGTAATGTTTGTAATGTATGTATGTATGTATGTATGTAATGTATGTAAAGTATGTAAAGTATGTAAAGTATGTATGTATGTATGTATGTATGTATGTATGTATGTAATGTATGTATTATATGTAAAGTATGTAAAGTATGTAATGTATGTAATGTTTGTAAAGTATGTAACGTATGTAATGTTTGTAAAGTATGTAAAGTATGTAATGTATGTAATGTTTGTAATGTATGTAATGTATGTATGTAATGTTTGTAAAGCATGTAAAGTATGTAATGTATGTAATGTAAGTAATGAAAGTAATGTATGTAATGTAATGTAATGTATGTAATGTAAGTAATGAAAGTAATGTATGTAATGTAATGTAATGTATGTAATGTATGTAATGTATGTAATGTATGTAATGTATGTAATGTATGTAAAGTATGTAAAGTATGTAAAGTATGTAAAGTATGTAAAGTATGTATGTATGTATGTATGTATGTATGTATGTATGTATGTATGTATGTATGTATGTAATGTATGTAATGTATGTAATGTATGTAATGTGTGTAATGTGTGTAATGTATGTAATGTAATGTAATGTAATGTAATGTATGTATGTATGTATGTATGTATGTATGTATGTAATGTAATCTAATGTAATGTAATGTATGTATGTATGTATGTATGTATGTAATGTGTGTAATGTATGTAATGTATGTAATGTATGTAATGTATGTATGCATGGATGGATGGATGTATGTATGCATGCATGCATATGCGTATGTATGTGTTTGTGTCCGTGCCAGAAAAATGCAGAAGTAATAGCAGTCACAGCAAATAGCTAGCTGCTTTCTGTCGCCCACAAGCAAACACCAATCCCCTGAAATTGTGAATCGTCAGTTCAAAAAATCCAGTAGGGGGAGCGCGTCAGAGAAAAGCGTAGTTCCGGAGCGAGCGCCAGCTGCGTGGCTCCATAGCTTCAGAAACCGATTGTAGACAGTGACAGCTGGGCCTTGTCCAGCTGCGTGGCTCCAGAATCCTTTTCGCGGTGAAACCTGCAGCTGGGTGCTGCTTTGGCGGGCGAGAGCAATGAAACCTGCAGCTGGGTGCTGTTTTGGCGTGGCGAGGCCGGGCCAGCTGCGTGGCCACAGAATCTTTTTCTACAGGGTTCCGAAAACAACGTTAGACACTGATGGCAGGCGCGGTTGAAACCTGCAGCTGGGTGAGTCTTTTTCTGCAGGGTTCCGAAAGCAACGTTAGACACTGCTGGCTGGGCCCGGCCAAGTGCGGTGAAACTTGCGGCTGGGTGCTGTTTTGGCGTGGCGAGGCCGGGCTTGCTGGTCCAGCTGCGTGGCTCCAGAATATTTCGCCAAATCTTTGTGTGGGGTTCTTGTTTTTGATTCTCTATCCCGGGACTCTTCCTCGTCCTCCTCCTCCCGCCCCGCCTCCTTCACACAACTTGTCACCCACAACTTTGTCACACACAACTTGTTACCCACAACTTTGTCACACACAACTTGTCACACACAACTTTGTCACCCACAACTTTGTCACACACAACTTGTCACGCACAACTTGTCACCCACAACTTTGTCACACACAACTTGTCACACACAACTTGTCACCCACAACTTTGTCACACACAACTTGTCACCCACAACTTTGTCACCCACAACTTTGTCACACACAACTTGTCACCCACAACTTTGTCACACATCCAGCTGCGTTTTGCGTGGCAGGCGTGGCACTTGGCGACATGTGCCTTTGTTTCACGTGGCAGGCATGGCACTTGGCGACATCTACTTGCGTTTCACGTGGCAGGCGTGGCACTTTCGGCACTGGGCTGGCTCTGGTGGCGCGCTTGGGCTGGGATTAGTTGCCGGTGACGCCGCGGCACTTTGCGTGGCAAGCGTGGCAGTTGGCGACGTGTGCTTTCGTTTTGCGTGGCAAGCGTGGCACTTGGCGACATCCACCTTCGTTTTGCGTGGCAGGCGTGGCGCTTATGGCACTGGGCTGGCTCTGGTGGCTCTGGTGGCTCTGGTGGCTCTGGTGGCTGGCACCACCTTGTCACACACCACCTTTCACACACCATCTTTGACAAACCCTCTTTCACAGACCGCTTTGTCAACACCATATTTCACACACCACTTTGTCACACACCATCTTTGACACACCACTTTGTCACACACCATCTTTCACACACCATCTTTGACACACCATCTTTGACACACCCTCTTTCACACACCCTCTTGTAACACACCATCTTTCACACACCATCTTTCACACACCCTCTTTCACACACCATCTCTGTAACACACCATCTTTCACACACCATCTTTCACACACCATCTTTTATACCCAACTTTGTCACACACCATCTTTGACACACCATCTTTCACACACCACTTTGTCACACACCACTTTGTCTCACACCATGTTTCACCACATCATCTTCCACACACCATCTTTCACGACACCATCTTTCACACACAACTTTGTCACACACCATCTTTGACACACCATCTTTCACACACCGCTTTGTCACACACCATCTTCACACCCTCTTTCACACAGAACTTTCACCCACACCATCTTTCACCACACCATCCTTCACACACACCACTTTGTCACACACCATCTTTCACAACACCATCTTTCACACATAACTTTGTCACACACCATCTTTCACCACACCATCTTTCGCCACACCATCTTTCACACGCCACTTTGTCACACACACCGTCTTTCACACACAGCTTTGTCACGCGCTGTCTTTCACACACAACTTTCACACACACACACACACCATCTTTCACACACAACTTTGTCACACACAACATCTTGCTTCGTCACACACCATCTTTCTCATACAACTTTGTCACACACAACTTTGTTTTACTTGTCGGTCCTCCACCACATCCTTTGTCTTGCCTTCTTTCCCCGTCCCCGCTACAACATGTGGTGCTCATTATTGGAAGAAGTTGCCTTGTGGGGTTATCTGGTCCTTTAATTTTCTACAGGATTCAGAAAGCAACGTTGGACACTGACGGGTGGGCCTGGCCAAGCACAGAGAAACCTGCAGCCGGATGCTCTTTTGGCGTGGCGGGGGGCTTGCTGGGCCAGCTGCGTGGTTCCAGAGTCTTTCTTTACAGAACTCAGAAAGCAACGTTAGACCCTGACGGATGGGCATGGCCGAGTGCCGAGCGTGCAGCTGGGTGGTGTTTTGGCGTGGCGAGGCCGGGCTTGCTGGCCCATCCGCGCGGCTCCAGAATCTTTCGCTACAGGATTCAGAATGCAACGTAGACATTGACGGATGGGCATGGCCAAGCGCGGTGAAACCTGCAGCTGGTTGCTGTTTTGGCCCAGAATCTTTTGCTACAAGATTCAGAAAGCAATGTAGACATTGACGGCTGGGCATGGCCAGGCGCGGTGAACCCTGCAGCTGGTTGCTTTTGGCTTGGCGAGGCCGGGCCAGCTGTACAAGCCGCGTGGCCCCAGAATCTTTTTCTATAGGGGTCAGAAAGCAACGTTAGACACTGATGGCAAGCGCGGTTGAAACCTGCAGCTGGGTGAATCTTTTTCTGCAGGGTTCCGAAAGCAACGTTAGATACTGATGGCTGGGCCCGGCCAGGCGCGGTGAAACCTGCGGCTGGGCGCTATTTTGGCGTGGCTCTTGTTGGGCCAGCGGCGTGGCTCCAGAATCTTTTTCTACAGGATTCAGAGAGCAACGTTAGACACTGACGGCTGGGCATGGCCAGACGCAGTGAAACCTGCAGCTGGTTGCTGTTTTGGCCCAGAATCTTTTACTACAGGATTCAGAGAGCAATGTAGACATTGACGGCTGGGCATGGCCAGGCGCGGTGAATCCTGCAGCTGTTGCTTTTGGCTTGGCGAGGCCGGGCCTGCTGGACAAGCCGCGTGGCCCCAGAATCTTTTTCTATAGGGGTCAGAAAGCAACGTTAGACACTGATGGCAAGCGCGGTTGAAACCTGCAGCTGGGTGAATCTTTTTCTGCAGGGTTCCGAAAACAACGTTAGATACTGATGGCCGGGCCCGGCGCGGTGAAACCTGCGGCTGGGCGCTGTTTTGGCGTGGCTCTTGTTGGGCCAGCGGCGTGGCTCCAGATTTTTTTTCTACAGGGTTCAGAGAGCAACGTTAGACACTGACGGCTGGGCATGGCCAGGCGCGGTGAACCCTGCAGCTGGGTGCTGTTTTGGTGTGGCGAGGCCGGGCTTGCTGGGCCAGCTAAATGGCCCAAAAGTCTTTTCCTATAGGGGTCAGAAAGCAACGTTAGACAATGACGGCTGGGCATGTTCAGGCGCAGTGAAACCTGCAAGCTGGGTGGTGTTGGCAAGGTCGGGCTTTCTGGTCCAGCTGCGTGGCTCCAGAATATTTTTCTACAGGATTCAGAAAACGATGTTAGACACTGAACGGTAGGCATGGCCAGACGCGGTGAAACTTGCA